AGTTCACTTTGCCAGTGCCAATCCCACCTGCTTCTAGAGCAGTATAAGCAAAAGATTGATTCACATAGACGGCATAGTGTACTTTTACTTTGTAAGCTCACAGACCTTCTCACATGTCTGCCCGAGTCTGAATAGAGAAACTAATCCTATACTCCCTAGCTGATGAAAGACCACATTTTAAAACTGACTTTTCCCCCCCAATCCATACATTTGCTACCAAATTTGCTAGAACAATGTATAGACTTAATTTTATGCTTTTTCCAAAACATCATATGTTAAAATAGCCACGAGAGGCACTCTTTAACCCCTTAGTGACCAGTCCGTTTTTCAATTTTCTTACTGTAAAGGGCCAGGGCTGTTTTTACATTTCTGCAGTGTTTGTGTTTAGCTGTAATTTTCCTTTTACTCATTTACTGTACCCACACATATTATATACCGTTTTTATTGCCATTAAATGGTCTTTCTAAATATACCATTATTTTTATCATATAATTTACTTCAAAGAAAATGAAAAAATATAATGAAAAAATGCAAAAAAAACTTTCTTTGACCCCCAAAATCTGTTAGGCATCTACAACTGCCAAAAACATCCATGCTAAATAGTTTCTACATTTTCTCCTGAGTTTAGAAATATCCAATGTTAACATGTTCTTAGCTTTTTTTTGGAATGTTATAGGGCAATAAGTACAAGTAGCACTTGGCTATTTCCTAACCATTTTTTTTTTTTAAATTAACACAGTGTTACATTGTAACACTGATATCTGTCAGGAACCCCTGAATAACCCTTCGCATGTATATATTTTTAAAAGAAGACAACCTACGGTATTAAACTTGGGGTATTTTCATGCAACCATAATACCACCGTGATAATAAATTTACCACCAAATAATAATTTGTCATTTTTTTTGTCACACCTAGCAATTTAGGAATACATGTACTGAGAACTTTAAGGGTTATTGCCAAAAAACACCCTAATATGTGTTCAGCAACAGCAGAATCTGTTGAAGGCATAGTGTTTTTTCCGAGGGAGCCCAGCGCTGGATTAAGGTAAGCTGCTGAAGGTCTTTTAACCCCTTTAGGGCCACAGCAGGGGGACCCTGAGGGTGAGGGTCCCCCAAGGATTATATAGTGTCAGGAAAACGGGTTTGTTTTCCTGACACTATAGTGATCCTTTAATGGTATTGATCAGGTGCATGTTGACAGATTCAGAGTTGCCACATAAATACTGGGCTGATACAGTTATGACAGGGACATACTGTATCTACAAAACAGACTTCGTACAAAAGCTACCAATACAATCAATTTTAACTTTGGTCTAGCAGAACACCTAACTTAAAGGGTTTCTCCAAACCTTTTTAGTTTTTCATACAATAATGCCCTATTGGCAATATTCTATCAGTCCGTCCCCACAAAAACAAGGTTTAAACAAGGTTTCACTTACCTTAATCCCACACCAGGTGAAGCTCCCCAGCGCTGCTCAGTGCACCCCCATCTGGTTTCACTGCCACACACAGAGATATACATTGGAACACACAGATACACATAGATACTTACACACACACAAACGCACACACACAGAGAAACATATACACTGGCACACATACAAATAGCAATTTACATATTGTTTATCACCACCCTGCTTCCATACCTTTTGGTTGCAGGGAGGTGACTTGCTGACTGATGCTGATGGGAGTCTGCCTTCCTCCAGTGCTCTCTTTCCTCCATCCCTGTGCCTCCTCAATCCTCCTGACATCACTTCCTCCCAGCATTCTGTTTAAACATTAAATGGGTCCAGTCACGCGACATGGGCCCTCAAAGCTTGAAAGTGAGTAACTTTTACAGCCCTTTTATATATAAAAAGGAGACTATAACATCAGGAAGAAAGATCACGAGAAGATTGAAAAATACCAAGGACTGAAAGCAGAGCTAGAAAGGATGTGGAAAGTGAAGACAATAGTAGTCCCAGCTGTAACAGGAGCACTCAGGGCTGTGTCTCCTAAGTTGGGGGAGTGGCTTCAACAGATTCCAGGTGGGACATGTGGAACAGCTAATCTGTTCCCAAAGCGTTTTCTGGTCTTGCTCCGATGTGAGGGTATAGGTCTGGTCTCTACATGGGACCATTAAGGCTCCGTCTGTGCTCCATCTATATTGGACCGCTTGGTCTCTTAGTTGCTTGTAACAGTCACCAGGGGACTTATGTAACAGTTTACCAGGAGTTGGAGCCCAGTTGCAGGAGATGGCACAGAAGGAGGCAAAGTCCAAAACACAGTTTTAAGGGGAAATCCAAAGGCAGGGTCAGATGAGAAGCATAAGTCAGGGCTGGCAGACAAAGTCGGTAAATCAGGCAGAGGTCAGAGTCCAGGAAATCAGTCAGTAGCAAATCAAAGATCCGTCAGGAAACACCAAACAGGCAAAATGACCAGATACTAGCTTTCAGGCAGGGCTGGCTTTTACAACGTGCTAATTAGATGCAGCTGGCCCAAATTGGAAAAGGGTTGCAGGTGGTTCAGTGCTACTTAATCCAGGCAAAGGTTCAGTTTGCAGAAAAATGCAAACTGAAACTGAAGCCCCCTGGTGGATGTCATGGCAGAGAACCTGACTGGGCTGCTGGAGCAGTGAGTTAAAACCAAGCCAGGTCTCTTAAAGGGGCGGCCATGCCTTGCTGTCTGCAGGGCTCAGGCTGTGCCGTGACATTGCTTGGCAACTGACTGCTTCTGCGTCAGGACCGCAAATGGTATGTCTCTATAAAGTGTCACAACACTGTTTTCAAACTCTACACTGCCCATTGCTTGTAAGCGGGCCATGATTGCCAAATGAACCGCTATGTCCCTGGTTACAATTATGGCGTGTCGGACATGGAAGCCATGTTTCTCTGCATATGATGGACTTGTTGGGTAACTTCCTCTATCTGCGTCTCTGTGGCTTGTAGCCTGTCGTCACTGGCTTTCTCCCTCTCCTCCACCCTTTGTACCTTTTGGGTCAATATGCCCAACTTTTTTTGAGTCTCATGGAGATCCTCCTTCCATACCTTGCGGATGTCTAGGAGCACCTGCTTGACATCTCCTCGTGTGGAGGGTGTCGAGTCTTCCTC